TATATAAAGGTACATGTAAGGTTAATTCATAGTACAACGTGATCCGGAGAAAGTTATATATATATATATATATATATAAAAGCTAGGATTACAATTGCAGAAAATTAAGAATTCAGAAGGTCATTATACTTGGGATATATAGCCACGTAAATTTCAAAAAAAGAAAAGGTGAAAAAAAAAAAGAGAACCAAGTAGATGAGAGGGAAGAGAAAAAGAAAAGAAAGACCAGAGGAAGAGGAGAGGTACGTGACGGCAGGAGGAAAAAAAAAAAGACTAAAAGAAAGTACCCTATGAAAAACTAGGTTTAGGGTACCTTGTGATTTTTTTTTTGAGCCAAATACAAGTATCTTCTTATTAGAGAGAATCTTAGTTAAAATGATGTCAAACATTAAATGTGAGTGCCTTAAATTGGATGAAATTAACACACTTTGTAATCCAGTGTCTAATCAAACAGCAGCAAACCATATTTCAAGCATAATTACCACTTTACTCAAGCAATTTTAAATTAAAAGAAGTTTATAATTATTCCAATAAAGTCTTCATTAAGCTATAAACAGTATCGGATGCTGTCTTCGCGCTTTGTATTGAGCCAACAAAAAAGGTATAAAAAAAGTAAAAATTTCTGAGAAATCACTCCCCCATAATTTTTTCAATTAATCCATGATTAGTGACAGTGACTGGCAATACTCTCCGGTCTTTAATATAAGACTTAATTATTGAGTTTATTTTAATTATAAATATAAGACATATTTCTCATATTTATCAGTCTTTCTTAAATTATCTTTATTGATATTCACTCAACTATAATCAAGTAAGAAAGAAAAGAAAGATGTTAAGGAAGATGATTATAGTGTTTTAGGAAAGACATATCATATTTTTTATAATTAACTAACTTACATAAATTTATTAATGTAATCAAATTAGGTAAATACTATCTCTGATCCTAGTTATAAGACTCTATTACATAATTAGGACCGGAGGTAATATGTCTTATATTAAGAACTAGAGGAATATAAATGTTTGGACCGGAATTGCTCTGGGCCGAGGGGAAAACCAGCCCAATGGAAAAGAGGGAAAGAAAATTGAAGCCCATTGAAAGAGAGCCTGAGGTTTTTTTTTTTCAATTTGATACTTACCTCAAGGCTTTCAAAGCAAATACTTAGCCATGTCTTCCTTTGTTCTATACATTTTTTTCTGTTGGCCCCAACAAAAGAACATTTTCTCTCCAACATTATTCTATTTTGTTGAATATTCATTGCATTTTATTCCAAATTCCTTGGCATTGATTTTCCATTTATCTTGAGAAATTAATGTCGAAAAACCTAGGAACTCACAACCGTCTTTCAGACTCCTATCATTGAAATTCTTGGATCATTGGTCCATATTATGTTAGTCTCATACTGCTATCCAAAAGTTCTCTTTCTTCCAAAATTGCTATATCTTGCGGCATTATATTCAAGGTGCTGTATCGGAGCCCTTTGCCTCAACTGACATTTGATATCTTCTCAAATTTTGTTTGAGTATGACTTCGCTTGTTTAGCCTTTATGAGTATGATAAGTATGTAAATTCCTTTCGCTAGGTGAGGGATGACAAAAATGAAATTCAATATGTTGTCTAATAACATTTCTCCATTTTTATGTAGTACTATCTCTTATCCTTAATGTAAGAGTTAGTTTGTAATTCAATTTAGTCCTAAATATAAAATTTCAATATATTTTGTTTCTCATATTTATCTATTTTTTCTAAAGTAGTTCTTGTAATATTCGAACACTTACAGATGTTAATAGTTCCATCAAATAGTGGTTTTAGTTAATACACATGATTAGCAAAGATATTTTAAAAAATATAACACTTTTTTATTACAAGTAACTAATCTAAAAAATTTTCTTAGTCTACTTAAATTAGTCAACTAGCTCTTATATTAAGGATAAGAGATAGTATAAATTTTGGCTTTTTTTGTTAGTTTTTGTGTGTGTTTTTTTTTTCTTTTAGAGAATTATAATAAGGTCTCAACGGAGAAAAATAATTACTAAAAAAATCCCAATAACAATTAAGTAGCATGTAATGACAAATTCTAAAGTAAAAAAATAACAACTTCTGGGCTTTTATAATTATTTTTTCTTGTTGAATCCCATTATAATTCTCTCTATTTTTTTTCCCCTTTCGAACCATAACTTACAAATAGAGATAGGAAGGTATGACATTGGTTTTAACTTTCTTATTTGACCAAAGGTGCTCAATAAGTTATGAACTTTTTTAAAAAAAATATAGGGCCACATCATGAACGGGAGAAGTCAAACCGATAATAAGTACAGATTCATAACGAAGAAAAAACTGACACCTCGAGATGAAGTAATAATACCATGTCAAATAACTAATGAGATGCTTCAATTATTATTCATCTCAAAAAGAATTTAATTTACACGTAATAATGAGCATTGACTTTTGTTCCATCCTGCAGCTTCGAGACAAGACCTATGAACGCCTGCTTCCCCAATTACGTGACTTACACTTTTTTCCTAATTTTCTTTTATTGCACATGGGTGTCATCCTAGTGAAAATAATTTTATTTTAAATAAGATTCTAATATAAATGTTTTAATTTATTATGTTGAGAGAAAGTAGTCAGTTTTTTTCATTAGGCTCAACTTGTATTGGTACTTATAATTTTATCATTGTACATGCATTAAATAATTATCCAAACCCAATCTGCAAGAGTAATATCTAAAGACAAGAATAATTGCTCTCCAAATTTAAAGTACCAGGTCATTTTCCTTGAATAAAAATATTCAACTAAACTAAATAAAATTTGCATTGATTTCGTTTTAAAATAATATTACTTCTTTCATTAACACAATAATATTCAATAAAAAATGCAAGAGAAGTACAGTTATGGACCATACAAAGAGTTTAATGTAAAATGAGTGTTTATGGATAATTAAAACTTTAAAATTCTATATCAAATTTGTATATTTATAAAATTAAAAAATTTTCATTTTATATTAATCTTTTGATAGTGTAGAAAACTGGGAAAAGTATCAATTGGCTAAAAAAGAGACGAAGGAAGCAATGAGCGAAGCACGTACTAAAGCTTATGAAGGATTTTATCAGGAGTTAGGAATAAAGACGGGAGAAAGAAATATTTACAAGATTGCGAAGCAAAGGGAGAGGAAAAAGAGAGATTTGGATCAAGTAAAGTGTATAAAGGATGAAGATGATAAAGTGTTAGTTACTGATGGTGATATTAAGGACAGATGGGAGGCTTATTTTTACAAGTTATTTAATGAGGGAAGCAATTATGCGACTCAGGACTTACAGGACTTGCTAATTAACGAAGATGATCAGAATTTGGCTTTCTACCGCAGGATCCGTATCGGAGAGGTTAAGGCAGCTCTCAAGAAAATGGACAATGGAAAAGCCGTTGGGCCTGATGGTATCCCTATTGAAGTTTGGAAATGTCTGGGAGATGAGGGTGAAATGTGGTTAACCAAGCTTTTTAATGAAATTTTATGCTCTAAGAATATGCCGAATGAGTGGAGGAGAAGCATTTTAGTTCCTATTTACAAGAATAAAGGAGACATTCAAAATTGTGCAAGCTACAGAGAGATAAAACTTATGAGTCATACAATGAATTTGTGGGAAAAAGTGATAGAATATAGGTTGAGGCTGGAGACTTCTATTTCAAAAAACTAATTTGGATTTATGCCAGGAAGATCCACTTCGGAAGCAATCTATTTACTAAGAGAGTTAATAGAAAGATATAAAAGTAAAAGAAGGGATTTACATATGGTCTTTATTGACCTGGAAAAGGCTTACGATCGTTTGCCAAGAGAAGTAATGTGGAAGGCTTTGGAAAAAAAAAGGTGTACGGGTTGCTTATATCAAAGCCATACAAGATATGTATGAGGGGGTAACTACCAGTGTAAGGACGCTTGGAGGTGAGACAAAGGACTTCCCTATTTAGATTGGCCTACATCAGGGATCCTCTTTGAGTCCGTACTTGTTCAACATTGTTCTGGATGTTCTAACTGAACCTATTCAAGAAAGAATCCCTAAGTCCATGCTTTTCACGGATGATATAGTTCTCATGGCGGAATCAAAAGAAGAGATTAACACTAGATTGGAGTTATGGAGAAGGACGTTGGAGTTGAAAGATTTCCGCTTTAGCAGGAACAAAACAGAATATATGCATTGTGATTTTGGGAGGAGGCAAGGCAATAGGGATTTGGAGATAAAGATGGGGGAGCAAATCATTCCTCAAGTATCAAAGTTTAAATATCTAGGATGCATTATACAGGAGGATGGGGAAATTGATGGAGACGTTTCTCATACAATACAAACTGGCTGGTTAAAGTGGAGGAAAGCTACCGGAGTTATTTACGATAAGAAGGTACCTGAGAAACTTAAAGGAAAATTTTATCGGATTGTTATAAGACCGGCTATGTTGTATGGTAGTGAATGTTGGGCAATAAAGGGAAAACAAGAGCACAAAGTTGGGGTAGAAATGAGGATGTTGAGATGGATGTGTGGTCATATAAGAAAAGATAGGATTCGAAATGAAAATATCAGAGTAAGAGTCGGTGTGGCACCTATCCAAGAGAAAATGGTTGAAAATCGCTTAAGATGGTTTGGACATATGCAGAGAAGGCCATTGGAGGCCTCGGTGAGGAGGGTGGATTAGACAAGATGGAGTCCTATAAAAAGGAACAGAGGAAGACCAAGAAGAATGCTTAATGAGGTCATTGAACGAGACCTCCTAATCAATAACATATATAAGGATTGGGTTGTTGACAGAGCACGATGACATCGTGTGATTCATGTAACCGACCCCACCTAGTGGGTTAAAACTTGTTGTTGTTGTTGTTGATTAATCTTTTGAAAATTTTCATTTTTCTTAAAAAAAAGTATTTCTGTTAAGAGGTTTTTTAATCTTTTTTTTTTTTTGGAATGTGAACTGACTTTTTAATCCATAGAATAGAATAAAAATATAAAGTATAAAATTCCTGAAATTCACAAACCTTTTTTTATTGAAAAAATAAATTACAATCATAGTTGCAATCATTTCCCATTTTACTCATTACCCAAAAAGAATCCCCATGCACTTTCTCCAAGAATCCAATTGCAGAAGCAGAAGCAGAGATCCTGGCAAATACCGGCGTCATGATCACGTGTTCCTCATCAGCCCCCTGTAAATCTACGACCACCTCTGAACCCCGAGGATCTAACAAACCACCATCCTTGGATTTCATCCAAGAAAGGTCATCTAATTTGACGGTTGCCATGCAGATGCAGTCAAAAGAGAAAGATCCTTCCACCCCAACTTGAGACACCCATTCTCTTCCACTAGAGTGTACCCTCTCCAAGGGTACATACCCAGCAAGAGGCTCGCTTGGGAAGCCGGGTTGCCCCGTAGAGACACCGGTCGGAACCCGACCCGTCTCAGCTCATCGCCCCATCTTTCGACCTTCACTTCGCCGGTCCTCTTGGGCCCACCAACAGCCACGATGTTCCTTATCTCGCACCCAAACAGCTGCTGCTCCACCGTATGCCTCTCTGTGCTGTCCTCGCTCAATCCGTCCCCGAGCGCGTCGAACAACGCGCTGTAATAATGCAAGGCGTCCACGAACCTCGCGAGGAAGGTCCCGGCGTGACTCAGATCCTGTTCGACCGTCGTTATAAGCTTCGGCCTCAACAGAGTCAACAGTCTCAACGTCCCCAAATCGCTTCCGGTGATATCGTACAAGCAATGGTGCATCCAATGGACCACTATGGCCTCGTTGGGCTTCACTCCGAGTTGACTCAGGTCGGTTATGTTCCCGATTTTGCCCTCCACAGGGTGGAACTGGAACGGCAAGCCGAGTGAGCTTGCGAAGTCGGCCAGTCGCCGGCCGGTGGACTCGAGCAACTCGGCGGAGGATCCGAACCCGGTTATCCTCATTGATCGGATCTTCTTCGAGCGGGAGGCGAGGATGTGGAACAATCCTGGCCATTGAAGGCCTTGCATGATGTCCAGGTCGATGACGTGGACGCAATCTTCGCCGTCGAGGGCCTGGAAGATGGCTTGGTTGGCGGTGAAGTGCGAGAATTTGACGAGGGGAGAGGCAGAGTTGTAGGATTGGAAGGCGCTAAAGATTCGCTGGGACTGAACAAGAGTGTGCGATTTCGTGGTGAGAGGCGAGTAAGTGCCGAGGCATGAGCTGACGACGCGCGCCTGAAGAGCGTGTGCAAAGTACGCGCCGACGCGTTCGGGTGACGTCCCGTACGGCGAGGAAAGCTCCGCTATCTCCGGCAGAAGGTCACTGGCATCATCCAGGTTTTCCATGGCGACGCACTCCGCGCATTGTAGCAACAAGCCGAGGAGTCTGAGACCCGTCGACTCGGTGCCTTCCAACGGTGGCTCCTGATCCTCACGCCCCTCCCCTTCCTCAACAGTCTTCTCGCCGGAGACAGATGCCTCACCAGAGAAATTCCTGCCGGAGCTCTGCCTCTTGAATGAGGAGGGATCATCACCGTCACCGCCGGCCTCGTCGAGGTCACGGTCCACGCGCTTGGTCTTCATGGAGGAAGAAGAGGTACCGTTTGGACTCTCAGAAAGTGAGGATCGAGGGACCAAGCTTTGAAGCATGATCGATGAATTGATGTGTGTGTGGGTGAGAGAGAGAGAGAGAGAGAGACTCGTGAAAGACGGGAGAGAATATGGAGGCTTGGAGGAAACCTTTGGGTTAAAAGGGACAAAAGTGAGAGAGAAAGACAGTGAAAGTTTTAAGTGACGGGGCAGGGAGAAGGTTTGTCAGAGGGAAAGAAAGAGAGAGAGGAAAGGAGGTGTTTGGGGAGAGAGAAAATGTGAGAGGAAATGAAAAAGAATGGGACAGAAAGGTTGATAACTTTGTGGGTTTGAAGGCAGGATTATAGGTTTGGGTGTTATCCTCGTTAGGTGCTCCGTTTTGTGTGTCGTTACGTTCGTTTTTATGTGGAATTGGAATTAATACAAAGGCTAAAGAGAGGGATTAATAAGGAATTAAAATTTGTTAATTTCTTCGTCATCGTTGTTGGATGCTTGTGATTTGGGACATTGGTTGTGCCAAACATCCCAAGAGATCCATGTTTGTCGTGTAACCCCTTGACAATGATAAGTCTTGTTTAATAACTTCCCTAGAATATGCAATTACTGATAATGACCTCTTCATTATCCCTCAATATATTCCCATTTCATGATTCCTATTTTCTTTAAAAATCTTTAATGGCATTTTATCAAATATTATTATGAATTTGAATTTCTTCCATGAGCGTAATATTATAATCCCCGGTCCTAAATGTATTCATAATGTAATTTACATTACAAAATAGATTTTATATATTTAGAATCGAATTGTCTTTAAACTTATAAGTGTATTTGCCCAACTACTGCTATTGTTATTTAACTACAAAATGGGTTGTTATTATTATCATTGGTTTAGTTTCATTTAATTTTGGTTTTGATCTTATAATTTCAAATTGTTGGCTTTAGTTCTGATAATTTTATGGGAAAATCCCAAAAAAGGTCTTTGGAATATGTGAAATGCCAGATTGGGTCTTTAAATTTCAAAAATGACAGAATGGGTCATTGACTCAATCTGTCATTTGTGAAATTCAGGCGAATTGACAATTTTGCCATCATTTATTCATTCACTACAATGATTCAAGGAATCACTATAAGAGTTTAGGTGTTACCTAGATTCGTATAGCGAATAACTACTCACTTTTTCATAGTCAGGTGTCTTGTTATTAACTAAAACTAATTCTGTAATCACTAGAACAATGTAAGTATTACCTAGATTTGTGTAGAGAATAACTATTCATTTTTTCATAGTCAGGTATCTTATTATTGTCAGGTACCTTATTATTAACTACAACGAATCTTGTAATCACTAGAATAGTATAAGCGTTACTTAGATTTGTTTAGAGAATAACTACTCACTTTTGCTCAGGGGCAAAAATGTCAATTCGCCTGAATTTAACAAATGACAGATTGGGTCAATGACCCATTCTGTCATTTTCGAAATTTAAGGACCCAATCTGGGATTTTCTATATTCCAAGGGCTTTTTCTGGGATTTTCCCTAATTTTATATGGATTTGATTTGAGTTTAAAGTATACGGACCAAAACCATTTGTTAAATTTTTTAATGACATTTTATCAAATATTATTATGAATTCAAATGTCTTCCATGAGCATGTGTCTTATTTTTAACATATTAACATTTAATAGTATTTAATTACTAATCTACATGAAATGAAAAAAAAGACAAAGTATCATATATTATCGGGAAACTTAATATAATGAATATAAAAAAATTGATTAAATTTTTTTTTCCTAAAAGATATATGTTATACTAGCCGATAAAACCGGTCTACAAAATACATATAAACTCAAATCAATAGCCATCCCGGCGCAATCAATGTCCCTATCTTGTACCGACCTTTGAATATGGTGGCAAATAGAATAAAGCAATAGTAGTATTATTATTTAACAATTAAATTCATCATCATTTGCACACATATATCGATATATGGATGTGATTAGACTTCAACACGCGCAACTGCCCGTTGCCATGTATAACAATAAACTAAAATATATATTTAGTTTTTTTAATGAGAAAATTTCAAAAAAGGTCCTTGAAATATGAAAAATGTCAGATTGGGTTCTTAAATTTCGAAAATGACAGAATGGGTCATTGACTCAATCTGTCATTTGTGAAATTCAGGCGAATTGACAATTTTGCCCTCATTTATTCATTCACTACAATGATTCAAGGAATCACTATAAGAGTTTAGGTGTTACCTAGATTCATGTAGCAAATAACTACTCACTTTTTCGTAATCAGGTGTGTTGTTATTAACTACAACTAATTCTGTAATCAGTAGAACAATGTAAGCATTACCTAGATTTATGTAGAGAATAACTACTCATTTTTTCATAGTCAGGTATCTTATTATTGTCAGGTACCTTATTATTAACTACAACGAATCTTGTAATCACTGGATCAGTGTAAGCGTTACCTAGATTTGTTTAGAGAATAACTACTCACTTTTGCTCAGGGGCAAAAATGTCAATTTGCCTGAATTTGACAAATGACAGATTGGGTCAATGACCCATTCTGTTATTTTCGAAATTTAAGGACCCAATTTGAGATTTGGTATATTCCAAAGACTTTTTCTGGGATTTTCCCTTTTTTAATTCTATACAGTTTTAATTTGATCTCTTAATTTTAAAAAATATATTTTAAATGTTTTAATATTAAAATTCTTAACAAAAAATAATAACATTGAGGTCATACATGTTGATAAAACATTTTTAATGCTGGTATACTAAGTTTAATTTTCATAAAAAATAATCATTTAAGCCTACTGATTTTAGAATTAATATAATTTTTAAAGTTAAGGATCAAATTAAAACCTTATATAAAATTAGAAGACTAAATATATATTTTAATCTATAACAATAGTTTGATTTTACCTTAGAAAATATATATATATATCCTGTAAAAAATGAACAAACTGTGCGGCTGTTGCACCTTTTCTATTTCATTTATAATTCTTTTACTGAATAATTTATTTCTAATTGGATTAATATGTTTTTCATATATAAATATAAATATATATTATATCATGAACGATCCGATAAATGAACCTATATTTTGCTGGTGAAAAAAAAAAACCTATATTTTCTATAAACAATAAGACGCGTTATAAATCTTTTAATCTATTTTCCTGACACCAACAAGACGTGACTTGTACAAATATGTGCATAGCAGAGAACTGCGTAGATATAATTTTTTAAATATATATTTATATGTAACATAAAAACTTAACAAATTAAAATATTTATGAGTTATGAAATGTGTGAACCATTTTTCAATCTCAATTATCTAAACTAATTAAGAAGTAATGTCTAATAGATTAAAGGTGGAAGCCAAAAAGAAATAGATTAAAAGCGTGGCAAAAAGAGTACAATAGATTAAAAACTCTGTACGTACGTACATTCCATATATAGAATAAGCGGTAATTTTTAAATATATATATATATATATTGTATTTGTGGTCTTAAAATATCACTTTAATAAATTGACGACGACGATGATAATAATTTTTTGCTAACAACAGCAATAATAATAATAATAATAATAAACATTTGGCTTTATATAGTACTAGCTCTGGTTCTAATTATAAGAGCTAGTTAACTAATTTGAGGAAATTAAGAAAAGAAGTTAAGTTAGTTATTTGTAATAAATAGGTGTTGTTTTTCCTAAAATATCCTTGTTAATTAAGTATGTTGGCTAAAACTATAATTATTAGAAGAACTATCTTGAAAAAAATTGAGTAAATATGAGAGACAGAATGGATTGAAATATTATATTTAGAACCAACATAAAAGTCAAATAAGGTCTTATATTAAGGATCGGAGGTAGTATATGTATTGATATTGATTAAGCTTAAATAAAACCTTGTCTCAGTCCCCTGTGTTACCCGCGTGATGAATGCAACATATATATTTCAAGAACAAAAAACACATTGCTAATAATAGAACAATAATTTTAAAGGCTCCCCTAGTTTTCTAATTTTACATATATATATTATATGGAATTATATGGGTGATATTAGAAAAAGATGTAAGCTCTCTTAAATAAAAATGCATTCTTGTGTTCAAAATATCTAATCCTTATATCTCGTCTAACACTATATAGTCATTAATACAAAATCTAGTTTGTATTTTTCCAAACTAGATCTTCTATTAAAGATTGGATGTGGCATAATTTTTTGAAAACAAAAATAAGATTATAGTTTTGTTCTTTTTTTAATATAAGATCTAACTTTTAATTCAAATTGAACTATAAATTAGATCTTATATTAAAACCCAGAAGTAATATAATTTTTTTGAAAATAAAAATAAAATTAAATTCGTGTCCTTTTTATAAAAAAATTTGTTTAATAAGTAATAATTATTTTTAAAGAATCGCCTTCGAACTTAAGATCTCCTGTTAAACTGATACAACCTTTGGAAGAAAAACCAGTTGTTTAATTTGCATGTATAGCGGATAAAATTACTTAATATAATTTTTTTATTCATAATATTTGAACTTGACACAATATTACTAAGTAGTAATATCGAATTCCTTTTCTTGATCCAATTATTGTATTTTGTTTTTGTTTTTTGGGCTCAATGAAGAATAATAAACCAATTATTTGGGCGTAGGAAGGAAGCATGGGGTGGAAGAAGCCAAGAAGGATGACAAAAATGGGAAAAGGAGAGAAGGAAGAGAACAAGAAGGAAGAGACGTCCATGTCTGTCTCACTTAGTAGTCCATGATCATGATCTCATCTTATAGTACAAATATAAAGCTCATCGTTTCTTTTTGGTACAAGCTTCCACTTCATTCTTATATTGGGTCAAGCAGAAAGGCATATCCTACCTACATTTGATTCTTAATATAATACATTGTTGATTAATTTGAAAAGATTAAAAAAATTTAAAAAATTATTTTAAAGTATTTATATTTATCTTTTTTTAAAACTAATTTGCCTAACTTATAAAATTGATATATAATCTCATAACACACATAATTAAGTATTTCAGAAAGATCATGTGATATATGCTATAATTAAGTAAATTTTTAACTTTTCTAATCTTTCCAAATTAGTTAACTGAGTCTTATATTAATAACTGAAAGTAATATTTTGCTAAATTTTAAGGGAAAAAAGAGTTGAGGTGAGTTGCATTTTTAGAGATCGTTTAAAAAAGAGGCATGCTTCAGAAGTCAATCAAAAACACTTGCAAAGATATCTATGAATAATTAC